GACTACTTTAAACCTACAATATTAAATTTCTTTTTTCAGAATTCTAACATAGATCTACAAAACCTTGACAATTTAAGAACCATCATGAGCCAACATTTGTTCAAGATGATGTTCTGGATGTACTTCAAATCCCAAAAAATGAAGTAATTAAATTATCTTTAAATTAAATTCAATAATTTACTTTATAAATTAGATTATACAAATAATAATTTAATAAATTTGACATTTAATACAACTTTTTTTATTTACTGAAAATTAATTAGTTAAAAAGCTCTGAATAAATTAATTATCAACTCAAATCACTGTTTAATAAACTCATTGTGTTTGAGTTGAGCTTGGGTATGTTGTACATTAACTAGATCTTGTATCAACTTTTGAATAATAATTAAACACATGATATAATAATTTGTTGTTTATATTTCAATAATAAAAAAAAAGTTTTAAACACACTAAACACAATATTTTAACTTGGTAACCAAAATTATATAACTTCAATGGTGAATGTGTTATGAAACACTTGATATTGTGTACAAATTATAATTTATTATTTATATTCGTTAATTTGATTTTGATAAAACCTATCACATTAAAAATTTACAAATACAGGAAATTTTATAATTCATTTTTTTAATACTTATTTTAAATTCATAAATAATATAAATATTATATATTGTACATTACTTAACATATTTTGACATAAATGCAAACTATAAAAATACAAAATTTAATTAAATATATTTTTAGTTACTACGATAAATATATAAATTTTGATCTAAAATCAAAATTTAATGATTATTATTGTATGATATACAAGGAGTCAGGTGAGTAATTATTTATTAAAATGCAAATTTAGTACATTATTAATCAATTGATTTAGAATAGTTTCACTTATTAATCGCGCAATATTTTGAGATGACCGAAACATGAAATATAATTTAGAATTTTTTTTAGCCATTTCTGTGATGACTGTTGATTGACTATTTGACGGCAACACTAACCAGACTATTTTTCCTTTACCACACTGATACCAAACTATAGAAATTCAAAGAAACACAATTTATGTACAAAATAGGTAACACATGTAACACTCGCCATATAATCCCAAAGATACCATCTAACAAACAAAAATACGCAGCGCAAGCGACGTCACGAGTCCCCACCCCGAAAATGCTGCCACCGCCACACGAAATCCAAGTGACGCTACACTTTAAAAGGCAAGACCCGACTGATTGGTCTTCAGTGTTCCACTCGCAGTCGACTGAGCCCTACTCTCGCAGTCCTAGCAACAATCACACACCGCCTATCATCTATTACAACACGGCTCTTATAAGCATTTACCACCGCCGCACGGCTTTGCAGTATTTATATACGCGCTCCGTGAAAAAGTAACTACCGTCCCCGTCCATTACCTTATGCTTATTAACCATGCTCACATTGGTCTATCATTGAGTTATATTTTAAGTGATTACTAAATGAGTACTATTTTGTATTATATCAACTTAGGACGCTTAGGTTACATTAATTTAACACATAATGTAGAGAAGATATCTTTTTTAAATCATGGTTTATCATGATAGTACATCATTATCATCATCACAGTTATATTTATCATCTGAAAATATTTAGCATATCATTATGTTATTTTTATATTTATAAATTAAATAGTTTTTTGGTTTAAACATTTTATAGAATTCTTTACTACTATACAAGAAAACACAGTAATTATATTTTTAGTTTGTAGCTTGTGAATTATAATTATTATTTAATTATTATTATAGGAGTATCTGTTCGGTGATCCTGGAAAAGTTTTTGGACATTATTCTTTAATATCATACTGTTATACTAAAGTAGATAAAGCTATATATTGCTACCAAATAGAATGTCTCCAATCTACCAATCAACATAACCAATGATAATATTTTAGATGGATAATATATATATTACACAAAAATGTACTTAATATTTTTGTTACAATAAGTGTGTTGCGTAACTAAATTAAAGGATATTGTTCATTGTATATAGCTAAACTTTATTTAAATATATATTTGATCCCAAGGAAAAAGAGCTTCTAAATATTTGGAACTTTGTGCATAATATTGTTAATAGTGATGGTCAACGGTATCGATATAGCTATACATTTTCCATAACAATATCATATTTTGGAATAATTGATATCTTGATATCAAATTTATTTATCATTTTTATTTTTATTCATTTTTAAATGGGTTCAATTATTTTAAACCGGGTAAACTCTCATATTCTTTCTTATTATAGTGCATAAAATATTAATTTATGTATAAATTAAAGTTTTATTTAATTTTGAGTTTGGTAAACCATTGTTGTCACGGCTCTAGTTCTACCTTAGTAATCGTAAACAATTTGTTGATGCTTATGGTTTTAAATCTGTTATAATCAAAAGTGTCCCACAAGGCAGTTATTTCTCTCTTATACTTTTTGCATTATTTATTAATGATATTAAAAAAGCTTTATTAATTAAGATTAATTAATCAACAGCTGCTTTGTTCCTTTTGCTGATAATATCAAATTATTTAATCAGTAACAAATTAATTTTTAATATCTAATTATGTGTCTATACACTATAGTGACTTGTACACATTACGAATGTGTTATAAATAATTTAAAACTAATAATTGATTCATATATAAGTAGGTACAGGGTAGGTACTTGAAATAATGCAGGAATTATTTCTTATTTGTATTTTTTATCTGCTTATATTTAATGTGTTTTTATAGTTGATTTAACTGATAACAACTTTGGAGCCCACTATTATATAAAATATACATAATAATTTTAAATTAAAAATAAGTTAAATTATTTATTTGGTAAAGGTGCATTTAAAAATATTACTCACTACATTAATACTTGATATTCCTACTCCTCATCTTCAATTCTAAAAATCAATAAATCGTAATACCACAATGTAGGTATATAAATATTCTCTGAAGAGGACCCAGTCGATTTTTATTATCGCATAATGTATAAGTTAATTTAGCTTGGTTAGATTTTCGTTTATATCATCTTTAATATTTCTTTAATTCGTAATTTCATGAAAAATACAATAATAATAATATCAAATTTGGTATTCAAACACACGGTTGTTCCACTAGCAATATTTGATAAGAGAGCCCAATTGTTCTCAAAATGCGTAAAACTGAATTGAAGGCGTTAGATAAGCAATAAATGTGCAATAATGTACGATGTGAAGCACCAAAAAAATATATTTTTTAAGTAGTAGCATAACGTCACAGTAACCAACCGAAACAGTCTTTTTTGACCCCGATTATGAATAGACGCTTATGGATTTGAAAAACTTTTATTTTACCAAAAGATGTTTTATGAAGTCTGCTTTTAGACAGTGTACTGCGCTAAGAGTTTCTCCAGTCGGAACATCCCTATCCATTCGGTGGTAAACGATAAGTAGTAACGCACGGTGAAGGAACTAATAGGAAATGGTCGACTTGGNAAATTATTTTCTGTGGACAAGTTGGGGAATTAATTAATATTACTTAATAATGACAATGAAACTGATTTAAATTATCCTTAACTTCAAAAATGTGTAGAAAAAAAGAATTCATCATTAATAAATGTTAGTTACACCAAAATGTTGTTTTAAAATATATTTGTAAAATAATTATCTTTGATTATACAAACACAATTTTTGAAAAATTTAAATTTTGTATTTTTAGTTTTGAAAAAATTGTAGAATAAGAAATGATGGTTCTCAATAAAAGTCTCAGTAATTATCACAGAGAAATTAAAATTAGTATAATAGGAAATTATTTTCAAAGTCATCACTAACAGAAATATAAAACTGACCCAAAATATTTGTTCCATCATGAACTTCAAGGAGGTTTTAATAATTATTTATTTCAACAATTTTTTGACTTTCTTTCTTTCTAAAATTTTTATTTTATATAAGAGTTTTGTGTGAGTATAATATTTTTTGGCTTCAGATAAAATATTTCATACGAGACTCATCAAAGGTTGTTCTTAACCATAGAAAAAAAGTTCAGTGTAATATAGTAGTTTTTTCATACCCTTTTTATTTTAAATTATGATAAAAATAGTAAAAATTTCATTTCAAACTATGTATCCTTTTTTTTTTTTTAAATAAAAAAAAATTAATTATGATTAACAATTAAATTCGGTCTGAAACACTGTATATTCCATATGAAACATTTTTAGTTTTTTACAGCATAGTAATAATATTTTACCCACATCGTTTTTCAATGCCAAAAATTAAATATAATATTACAATTTATAATTGTTTATAGGAACATTAATTTAAACATAAGTATTGAATTAATAAGTCCCAATTACTATTATTAATTTTATAATGAAAAATACTTACTTTTGTTCATGTGTATTGTTGGTCTTGTAACAATGGCCTATGTAAATTATTCATCATTTAAAGCATTTTGAAATGCAATTTACACATTGATTGAATAAAATAATTGTCCAATAAACCATTGTCTATCTAATAGATTTATTGTAACATTTTACATATTATTTATCTAGATACCTATTTTTATTTCAGTAATATCCAAAATATCCCTTATGGTGGTATAAAACTTTATAAAAGCCATACCAGTATACCTACGCATACACTTTTCATTTACTAATAATCAATTATTTGACAACCTTTAAGTATACTAAATGGCAGCTACCCACTACCTACTACCTATTAAACAAAAATATCTGAAATATGTCTAACTACAAACAAATTTCAAAATATATGTATAGTTTATAAATAAATAATAGACCGACACATAGATTTTTTATAATAAAAATATGTTTATTGAGGTATAATTAAATATCGAAACTATATATTATAATAATGTGCAGAATAAATCTTTTAAAATTAAAAATTATTATATTACATATTAATTGTATATAAACTCGAAATAGATAAAATGATTGATTATTATATAATGAAATATTGAAATGTAATAAATGTATTAATGATATTATACTATATATTAATTATTAACTATGCACGGATACCTAGGTATGCAGCGAAAATGTTTAAGTTTACCAAGAATCACATCTTGAGATTCCATTTCAATAGACCGTTTGGAGAAGGCAGACGCGGTGTCAGAGGTAGGATTTTCTTCTGAACCCAATTGTAAACCAACATCTTCGGCAACAATTAAGCCAGTAGAGGTAATTGTTTCTGTCGAATTTGACACCTCAGGTTTTAACTCGGAGTTCGCAGAAAAAAGCATAGAGTTGATAGAACTATTGCTTGTCAAATTCAAATGTTGCACAGTATTTATGGAACGGTTTATTGTATAATTTAGATCAGTCATATGTGTTGAATCCGTGTTCGTTAAATTTGTTTTTAGCTCGTATGTCGTAAAGATTGAGTCATTAAATGTAGAATTCATGATATTTTTAGTGGAGCCCATTTCTATGGGTTTCGACTCTAAGTTTGGTGTGACAGTAATTAATGTAGAATTCACCTCTGGTCCGTTCGTATTAAACTCGGTAACAGTGATGATATTCGTGGTGGTCTCCCATCCGTTACCCGTCACGTTAAAAATAGAGGGTTGGTCCAGGAACGCAGTCGAATCATTCGCTGTTGTATTCAAAACATAAGGTTTGTCCAAAAACGTGGCCGAATTGCTCAATGTTACAGGCTCGTACTTGACGGTGATAGTAGAGTTTGACAACTGCAAATAACCTGACTCATGGTTATTGAAGACGTTAGTAGATGAATTGTCCGTAGAATCAAACGGTGAATATGCGACCGTGACCGCAAATAATTTTAAGTCGCAGTCGCGATCGCTGTAGCTAAATCGTACCGTCTCCATTTAGCGGATCTGAAATTCGCGATTGGCGAAATGATATCATAGGTATCTGAAACAAATTTCAGAGAGTGGGGGTTTAACATTATTTTAATACGGGTACCTACTATATGCACTTATACTATTGACATTCACACGCACACCGCTTGATTCTCTCTTTCCGCCAGTTACGACCATGGGTACGGTACCGAAGCTGGAGTTAAATAGGCCCAGTGCAAATTTAATTTGTGGGCCCATTATTTTTCATTAATATTTAATCTAAACATAGGTAGGTACTATAAAAAAAACAATACATATCAATGTATCACATTGAAATTTTTCTATTTTTTTTTTCTATTATTATCTATGCTATCTGGCATTTACGTCACCAACCGCGAAATGATGCCCGCGAGTTCTTACCAGGTTGTGAAAAGGCCACTTAACACCCTAGGTTAAGTTTGTGACGGAGTTTGTCAACTTGACAACAAAATATTAACCATAGCATAAATTTTTGCAACTTATCTTTTCGTGATTACAATATTTTTTATTATACAAAAATTAAAAGAATTATAATTTTGTTGTGTAAAAAAATGTATACATATTATAACGTATATAATTCTTAGAATACGATTGTTTAGATGCAAATATTGTAAAGTTTAGTGTAAATGATTCCAATAACCCAATTATTGTATATTGAAAATAAATACATATTCTTCGAAAAATTAATTTTTTACGATTATGTTTTTATAATGACAACTTATTTTTTTTACACATTTAAACATATCTAGATTTTAATTTTGGTAAATAATTAGTTCTTTATAACGTTCACTTAAAATGTATTTCATTATATTAATAATATAATATTATAACACGGTTGTGCTCATATAAATATGAGCACAACCGTGGCGATCATAAAAAAATGCTCGGAAACAAAGTGAATAAAACTACGGATTTATTATTTATTTACTAAACGGGTAAAATTCGTCCAAATTGTATTATTATTTATTTTAATTTTAAATTGTATTATTCAATTTTATTATTATTTTTATCATTAAATAATCAATTAATAATAGTTTGTCAAAAGTGTAAACGTATTTCAATCAATATTGTTGCATGATAAAATGTAAAGAAACTTATTTTTAGAGATATACTTAGATAAAGTAATAAGGGAATATGAAACGTAAAAACGGATAACACGTAAACACAGATTATCGATCAACGCAATTGACATTGGTATACTAATTATTTATTATTACGATTAGTAGATACCTACCACAAATATTTTTTAAAACCCATATCGAATTTTCGCATTCATATCAAGGTAAATTTTTTAATTTAAAATATATACAATTTATTATAATTAAAATGTATATGTTAGAGTTATAATATATTAATAATTAACAATTTTTTAAAAAAACCCATGAATAAAATTATTCAAATTTATCGAGTATCTAAATAGTTACTTAAAATGTAAATATTGAGTATCAAGTATCTAAATACTTGAAATGCAAGTATCGAGTATTGCGATACTCCAATAGTAAGTATTTAGTTCTAATATTTTGATACTCATTATTGAGTATCTTCTTTAGAGTTCATCTCTGGGTGGAGTATGTACCTTTGATAATTTATGCTCAAATCGAAGAAAAAAAGCCCTATTGTAAATTAATACGTACATTTTAATAATAAAAAAAGAAAAACAAAAATTTGTATTATATTCATTATTTTAAGTTAATAAAAAACTCAGGCAAATTAAAAATAATTTTTAAAAAGAATCATTTTCATGTTGTGTTTACAAAACATAAAAAAGAAAAGGTAATTTAAAAATTCAAAATACTTATTTAGTTGTTTATTTACATTTTACATGCAAATATTTTGTAAGCAGTTGTCAAATGTTGTCCAAATTTGTTCAATCATTTTCATGTGGTTGTGAGTAATATTGTAGTCTGGGAATTTTTTTCCTAGGTTTGGGGATTTTTTTTTTGGGATTAAATAATTATACAGAGCATCTGACGAAGATATACCCATTTAATATCTCCATGTATAATAAACATAATTAACTTTTTTTTTTTAATTATTGCAAGGGTAATGACTACAAATACCTACATAAAAAAATAATATTTTTAAAAATAAAATAAGAAAAAACAAAATTTGGTTTTCTTTATTATCTATGGGTATAATGCATTGGATTTCATCTTTTGTATTTATTAAACCTATGCCTTATGGTTGTTTAAAGCCATTATAATTAAGTTAGGATTATGAGTATCTGACAAATATTTATACGGGATGATCTTTCTGTCATAAGACATCTCGGAAAGTATTAACTTTTACCGGAATTCATTTTCTACAATATTTAAGACACAAGCTGCTCTACAATTTTATATTTTTGTTATTTTTTGTCACTCTTATTTTTGGGGGTGAAATAACTACCTAACTTTTGATTTTCAAATGGCAAACTATATTAAAAAGTCTATAAATAAATGGAGTATTTGTTAATATCAATTTTAGTGTTATAATTTTTAATTTCTATCAGTCCATTGATGAGATATTCCACTTTTAAGTTTTCGGTTTGAGGAAAGTAGTGGAGTACCACTTGTGTGGCGATACGGCTCGCGGCGTGTTAATAATATACCACAACTCTCTCTCAACCAAAACTTAAAAGTGGAATATCTCGTCAATGGACTAATGGTAATTAAAAAATTCAACACTACAATTGATTTTAACTAACACTCAATCTATTAATGGAATTTTTTAATATAGGTTGTCATTTTAAAATCAAAATTAGGAAGAGATTTTACCCCCAAAAATAAGGGTGACAAAAAAAATATAAATATAAAATTATAGAGCAACTTGTTTTTCAAATTTTCTATAAAACAAATTTCGGAAAAAGACAATTCCTTCTGAGATAACGAGTGTCTTACGATAGATTGATCACTTTGTATACGTATTCACATATAAAAAAACCACTAAAATTTACATATATGTTATTATGTTGACTACGTTTGAATCTCGGAATAAAAATCATCCAATCTATAAACACTAGAATCTTTAAGAAAATTTCTAACACTAAATTACCGAACTATGGTATTATTTATGAAAATATGTGTTTGTATTCAATCAACTTGTCAATATTATTATAATCCCTTGACGAAAATCACGTATAGCTAAAACTTATAAAATACAAACAGCAGCTGAAAATAACAGCTGGTACCTACTTTATTATACTCTATGCGGCGTGCAGATGTTATTATTATACTTTGTACCTAAACCCGAACAAAACATATTTTCGACCTTTTACGTAGGTACTTATCGGTCTTTCGTTATTGTATTGTGTGTTGTCCACATGTGCTCGCGATGCCCACCCACCTATAGCCCCATTCCGATTTCAAATACGTGCCTTCCCTTGTCGGCTTTATTTCACATACAATGTTCTAACCGTGATTTATAATATAATAAATAGTTAGGTACTCACGTGTTGTATTTTATAGCTGCTGTAGTCTCTCGGATACAATAATATATTGCAATATACCTTCGTATAATGTGTGTATTTAGGCACTGAAACGAATAATATAACCGTCCCAAATACTGCGTTGGTTACATACCCAAATAATATTATTTTATTTTCCGAAAAAAAAGAATACAGACCACACACCGAGTAAGAATGTTTGTGTGTGTGTGTGGAGTCTATAGCAGATGTATCATGTACAGCATATGCCATATGTAGATAATATAGATATCGTTTTTACGACTTAAATCATTTTTAAATAAAGCAGAAATATGGTTGTAATTTAAGTAAAACACACATCATGTTCGCGCTGTAAAAATGCAATTGAATATTTTTTTTAATTAATATCCACTTGTGCTTACAAGGGGGCAGGAGGAGAACTCTTCCTACCTTTCCAGGAAGTTAAAATAATTATTTCAAAATTAAATATCTCAAAATCACAAAATTCATTATTGGTACCACGGTATACACCTTAATTGGTACCTAATCGGTAGGTATACTTCGTAATAATAGAATTCCGCTAATTTATTATCTCAATATGGCCTATGATTTAAAGTATGTACCAACCACTACAGCCAATTATTATGAATATATTTTGTGGACAGCTAACGATTATCTAATATGTGAGAATAATTCATCCAGATGATGTATGTTAAGTTTATATGGGAAAATTCGAAGAACTTAATTTAGTAGAAAAACTTGTTGTTTAATTTGGAAAAAAAAAAATAAAATTTCAATTTGAGTTCAATTTGTAACGATAAGTATAAAATTTAATATTATATTATAATGCTTTTAATATAATAAAAATAATTAATTATAAGAAATTAATAAATTACCTTCATATTTTACTGATTTCTCT